GTGTGATTAGTGACGTAACAATTCTATTCACTTTCAGGGTCTCAATGAATCAGGAACAGATCTAGAGGCCGTAAACAAGTACCTTGACCAAGCAGGATCCAAGCTTAAGTACCGCACCTACGGAGAAACTCTCTTTGATATCCTAATTGCTGGTGGCATCCTCAGTAAGTTCTAGTATTAATGTGCATTCATGTTGTGAAATAGGAGTCAAATCTTTTTTGTAAGAAAGCATTAACTGTGTACACAGTAAGCATATTATAGTCCCCTTTCTTTAACTTTTTATGAAACCTAACTTGCGTGTTTCCCCCAACAGCCCCTGGTGGGGGAATATCTGAAGATGGCATTGACCAAGGGCCAGTGCGCACAGACATGTGCATCTTCAAGGCCCCAGATGACTCATATGAGACACTGCGAGGCTATGCCACAGTTTTCACCCGGCTGATGAGGAGATACAAGTATCTTGAGAAGATGTTCTATGAAGAAATGAAAAAGGTAGGAACTTGTTAGGCGGTGGATGGTTTTGGGAATTGGTTGAAATGAAAGATACCTAAGCAGATATATATGAATTGCTTAACAAGAACTTAAATGCAAAGTTATGGGATTTGGGCTTGTAACATTTATTTTAATAGAAAGTAAATTTGAAGAACATACTATTGTAAAAAACAAATATTACTCGGAGAACTTCTTTCTCAATACATGAAGTAGGTTTAATTTAATATTTTGTTCTAATTACACCCATAATTGTATCAACCCTAAATCTAGGCATTAACATAGCAGTTTAAACAAATTTTTTGCTGTAGAGTAAAATTGGTCGGAGATAAATCTGTAAATGCATTTTGTTAACAAGGTAAGGATAGGTTTTTCACCTTGGTTATCTCTTCTGTTTCAGGTTCTGGTATACCTCAAAGGGTTTACCGAAGGTGACCGTATCCGCTTGGCTCGTTGTATTGCCATGTGGATGAGCGACTCGCTGCTCGACCCGAAGGTGCTAGCAACTCTGCTGCAGGATCACCTTATCAAGGATGGGCTTGCGGCAGACTTTTTGTGTGAGGTGAGTTGGCAGATTCTGGGACAGCCAAAATGCATGCCAGTTTTACTCATTACTATTTTACTTTATTTTGTATATAGATAACTTAAAGGTGCTTAGTCTGGTCTATAACAGGTTTATCCATTTCCTTTAATTTTGGGGGGAATATATATATTTTTTTTATTGCTGTAGTTCATAGCAGTACAATGATTGACTATAATCAGATTAGTAGCAGTAGAGTAAGACTTTCCCCAAAAAATTAAGGAAGAGATTAGGCCTACTAAAAGGCTACATGATGGCTAAACACTTCTAGGGCAATTTTTATGCAAACAGTTTTTCAAAACTACTGTGGACAATACATTCCCCTGGCAGCAGTGGGTCAAAGTTTATATGTGGGTGTGTTCTTGGCTTTTCTTTGAATTGCATTATCAAATTTATTATGGAATTCTGAGATTGATAGGTCTTCCTTGATTTTATTTTTTATTTTTTTGAAAAATTACTGAATAAGGGGAATATTTTCTAAAGAGTTCTGTTCCCCCTCCAGGTACTACTCACAGCAAAGAATTTGAAAGACATCAGTACGGTGCGATCGCTGCTACGCAAAGCAGGCTTGGATTCAAGGTTAATGGAGTTTCTTCAAGCCAACAAGCGGACGGACGAGAATTTTAAGAATCTTTTCCAGGAGAAAGGCTAGCAGAGATACTTGATATCCACAGGTCTCTGGTAAGCCTCAGGAAATTATTTGAATGTTTTCTGTAGATTATTAATATTTTCTAACAAAGTAATCTCCTTATTTATCTTTACTGGAAATAATCCCATTTCTGATGTTTACAGGAAAAGGAGAGCAGTCTGAAGGAACTGCAAATATACCTGACGCAGCAGGTAAATGAAGGTGCTCCTGTGAAAGAGATCATAATTGGGGTACAGGAGATTTCAAAGAAGAACAATATTCAAGAACCTCAGGTTGTGGCTGCTGTAAGTTGAATCCTAAAAGTACAAATGGTGCAAATACCAAAGTAAATACAAATAAATTCAATTAATTCTGACAAGTCTGATGTGGGATTCTAGATGTTGACTTTTATACACAATGCCTGTAATAACTATTGAAAAATATTGAATTTGCCTTTTTCAGATTTGGGGTAGTGTAATGGCAGCCATGGAATGGAACAAGAAAGAGGAGTTGGTTGCAGACCAGGCCCTCAAACATTTGCGTGTTTATGCGCCCCTGTTTGCTGCCAATACCAGATCTGACCGCGCAGAGTTGAATCTGCTGGTTCGTGTTCAGGAATACTGTTACGACAACATGAATTTCATGAAGGTTTTCCACAAGATTGTCATCCTCTTCTACAAATGTGAGTGGTTGATATTACTTTGATTAGTTTGCCCTTATTGTGCTTTTTATTTTTTAATGTACAAGTTGTAGAATGACTGTAACTATTATTACCTTTCATTATCAGGGATGAAGCAAGGAATACTCACCATGTGTAATCTCTCATTTTACAGCTGAAGTTTTGTCAGAGGAAGCAGTCCTGAAGTGGTACAAGGATGGTCATGCTACGAAAGGGAAGTCAATCTTCCTCGACCAGCTCAAGAAGTTCGTGGAATGGTTACAGAATGCTGAGGAGGGTAAGCTTTTTTGGAAGTTAGATATTTATGATTACTGGATACATGAAGGATGTTGGAAGTATTTATTTTATGAGAACCTTGATACTGAGCAACCTTTTTTTTTTTTTTTTTTTTTTTTTTTTTTTTTCCCAAATTACAGAGTCCGATGAGTCTGGTGATGAAGAGGAAGACTAAACCATTATGCCTACAGAACTCAGGACTTCTAGTGAGTTTACTTGTAATTCTTTTGTCAATCTTTTCTGAATTTATTTTTGAATAATCAGATACTTTAGAGTGAAAACAGAGTTCAAGTTCATTCCTATTCTGTTTTTTCCCCCCCACAGCCAGGCCAATGTTCGAGTAAGATGTGAACCAACCACACGCTGCCAACCACAAAGGAGCCATCCATGCCATGCTATTGTTTTATCAACCAAGAAGGCGCCTCCAAGCTATTACTTTGCTCTACCTACAGCGCCTTACTATAGTCTCCGTGAACCACATGGGACTTGATACTGCAACAGTTATTTTTGTTAAATTTTTATTTGTATATTTATTTTCTATTGCTTGAGAACACAGCATCAGAGCAGGAGCAGCAGCAGCAGCCCTCCAACACGACAAACCAGAACCCCCACAAACTGCCACCTACTGTTGCTTCGTTGATCTCTAGTACAAAATGCTACGACAGGCATTGATACTGTGGAACTCCTCGGTCAACATCGGGGTTCAGCGACCGACTGGCCTCTGGACCTTCGCCTATGAATGGCAAGGTGTCCAGGAAAGTGCTGTCTTGTATGAGTCTTTGTTGTATTTATTTGTCCGTTGTTCAACCAGCGGTCGAGATGAATAAAAGCTGTGATTTCTCTTGTATTATTTTTGTTGTATGTGTTATACTAAAGATTGAGACCTGCATTAAAAGTTTGGACAGCGCCCAAAATAATTTTATTGGTGTGAGAGGAAGTGCATGTAATTTTGTGCAAGGAAGTAAAAGAATCCTTCAAAGATGGTGAATGAAGTGTCAAAAATAAATATTTTTAACGTTTTAAGATAGGAGGTTGCACCAGCTTACCAAATAATTGATCCTTTCGGATAAATCACTATTGTAGTACTTGGCCGTGTAAAGTGATCCAGCATTTAGTGTGAGTGTGTTCCAGGAGTATGGAAAGTGGTTACTTTTTACTTTTTTATAGAAGGGGGCTCCTCCCAGCTTGCCCATCATATTTCTTTATTTTATAATCCTTATAACTATAGGTGTGGGACAATGTTTTTGGTAAATAAAAACATTGAGAAATGTCATCTTTTATTTTCAAACCCTAGAAATTAAAGAAAATTAAATATTAAATTTTTGAATTGTGGTAACGGTATGGAACAAGCTGAAATGATATAAAATGTTGAGGAATTGGAAGTATTCATTACGAATCTTTTACCAGTTGTTCAGTAACATTATGGTAATTGGTATAGGAAACACTTCGACAGCATTTTGCTCCTGTAATATTGTATATGAAAATACCGTTTATTCACCTTTTTAACTATATTTGCATGGTATTCTTTCCTTTTCCTTCTCTCCCTCATCCCAATCTGTCAACACCCTAAAATGTAAGAGCCGTGGAGAAAGGATGAATGACTGGCATTATCAGCCCGTTTTTTTTTCCTCTTTACCCTTTTCACTATTTAAACAAAGCGTTCTACAACCTTTGACATCTAACATTGTCATAATTATTCGCTCATTTTTAACCTTTCTGCCGCAATACTTAACCATTAATGCTGCATGACCTTTCGTTACCTAGGGGCATATAACGTTCCTAATGGCCTTAGATGTTGACGCGGCAGAAATTTTAAATAAGTGAAAATCCTCAAGTTGCATGACGAAGCAGCATCGATCACAATGGCCTTTGAACAGGTTATGAATACCTCGTGGCTTTATCCTCCTGAGCGCATAGAGGCCTAAGAATTTGTTTATCCTTTAAACAGTCAATTACAATGAACCAAACACTGTCAAGGCGACGGCCACAATTAACATAATGCTGTTAAGAAGAGGTTTGATATGCAAGATTGGCACGTATCATTTATCCTTGTGTAAGATGTTGCAATGTGCAGAAAAATGTTATAATTCGCAGTGAAGAATTTTCACTGATCAGATTTTAAATGGTGCAAGAATTTGGTTGATTAAATATATTGTTTAAATCGCGTAAAACTAGAAAATGTCGAAATTTCAAATCGTTTTACATTGTTTACATCAAGCTCACATAAGAAGGAATTTGACCTTTGAAAAGAAAGGGTAATTTCATGACATTTAATTAAACATAGTTATGAGGGGCATATTCTCCATCATCAAGGTGATATAGTATTACGATATCTGCATTTCGTGGCGTTAGGGTTTGCTATGAGCTTGTCTGTCATAAACAGCAGAACCAAAACTCTGGGCATTAAGGGGTCCTGAATAATTTTAAGTAGAGTAGACCTCTGCTTATACCTCTTCTCTTATTCATTGGCCACAAGTCGAATTTTAAAGCTCTGACTACATTTTACTCAAAATCGTAAAAAAAGATAATTGAGAGGAAAATTTATCTTTACGTCACACACCTGAGCGTAATTTTGACCTATGAGTATGGGGTGTGGTATGTTCTCTCATGAATGTATCATCTTACAGAAACATCATAGATCAGCCTTTTCAGAAAAAAAAATTTTGTTCTCCCGATTCATCAGAAACTGAAACAAATTCGAAAAAGGATACACAGACACTTAGCACATCAATTGTCTAAGGCAATACTGATTATCGATACTTGAAAATTGTCTGACGCGATTCCGATATATCGATTTTTCTTAGATAGGATGCTACCGATACCAATACGTGTGTTGCCGATACAGTGGCGCCGAAACTTTATTGTAAGAAAATAGTCCAACTGATATGTAAATATTTGATTGGGAAGTTTGGTTCACAGCAGACAATGATGCAGCAGATAAGTGTATTTCAAACGTGTATCATACGCGGATATGGCCTCTCGACTTATTTCGTCAGATAAAGAAAGAAAGCGAAAAGAGAGAGGGAGAGAGAGAGGGAGAGGGAGAGGGAGAGGGAGAGGGGGGGGAAGGGGGAATGACTGATTATTCCACACAATGTCCTGACTTTCTATGCAACACCTTAATTCTGCAAGTTGTTTGTAACATATACACCTGCACAGAATATATGAAATTGTTCCTAAGCATTCAAAACCAGACTTGCCATGATGTGTCCTCAGTTAACGATGAAAAGAATATGTTCATGGTGCTATCAACATACAGCGAACAATCTAAGGCATCTATGTATTTCAAATTTCATATAAACGATCTTGTGTTGCATTGTGGATAATGAAAAGAGAATTCAAGTATAAATTTCTGCCAAAAGATCATTGTTATATGACAGCCTTCACAGAGTCTGAAAAGACTACTTTTTTCTATTTTTGTCTATTATCACTTCTAAAAAGGCTAATTCTGTTGCCTTCCCTAAAAATAAGCGACGCGTGTTTGCCTTTTAGATAAAAAAAAACCTAACCCTAGTTTATTTTCTGCAGCACATGAAACGTCTAAATAACAAATAATAACCTCAAATAAGCATTGAAATGAAGAGCAAACGGGTCACTTTGCAATTCACTGGTATTAACTTCATCTTCAAATTGATCATGAAAATATATCGACGTGACGTTGAATCGATACTGCCCATCTCTGCACAGACATGCCCTAGCCACTGTATTCCTGAAGGAAGTGAGGCAACATCTCGCATTAATAGTTCCATTTCTCGAACATTGATTACCTTTAGACTTACGAAACCACTATAAAGCGGGAGAAACGAGACAGTTTGGAGGTCTGAAGAGTAGTTTTTGATTATAGAAGGAATATGCTTCAAAATAAAACGTTTTTGGGGAATACGTTAAACTAGTATACACGCGCGTTTAGAAGCTCAGTAAGAGGCAATTGAGCATTAGTTTGTCTGTTATGTAGGTTTCATTTCAGCGCCAATCTCGAGGTTTGAGTTTTAATGGCATATTTGTATTTTTCTTTTCCTATATGTCTTATACATGAATGTTGAAATGTTGATTAGGGAGTTATCCCAATATTATTTCAGTGTTATTTAAGGAATATTGTATATCAAGGATGTTCTAGTATGCAATGGCGTGCTGAGGATGAGATTGGAAGGGGTGCAAAGGGTTGAAATGGCGCCCCCTTCCGTGATTACATTTAAAATTTTGCTGTTGTACTTCGTTTATTTATATCCATTTATACATTAAAATCGAAGTTTAGCTGTGTTGATGGAAAGAGTCATCAGCTTTCGTAAATCATGTAAAATTACTATGAAGGCAACTCAGGCGCCTTCGACGTCCCTTATGCATTTCGGCGCCCCCCCCCATTTCATCAGCAGGAGGGGCAATTACCCCCCCCCCCCTGCCAGCAGCTACTGCTAGTATCGTTGTAACACAGTTTGTGCTGTGGACGCATTATTGCAAGGTGGAAGTGGTTTTGTAATCTAATGGTATATATGTTTTGTTATTTTTTCTTATCTAAAATGCACACTAAAACACACACCTGTGTGTGTGTGTACTTATAAATATATAATATATATATATATATATAATATATATATATATATATTATATATTATATATATAATATATATATATATATATACATACTCACGTGTGTGTATGTTTGTATGTTCACACACACACACACACACATACGTGTGTATGTTTGTGTGTTGTGTGTGTGTGTGTGTATATATATATATAATATATATATATATATATATATATATATATATATATATATATATATATATATATATGTATATACATACATGCATACATAAATTCATATGTATAAACACAAATGTGTGTTTGTTTATATACATACAAATATATGTGTGTGTCATTTCGGAAATATTAACATTAACTGGGCTTTTTCCAGCTCGAACGTGATATTCTTTATTTCACAATGCTTCTGGAAGAGGCACAAAGCTTATGGTGAATAAAAACATTGAGAAAAAAATACTTTTTTATTCAAAAAGCAACCTTTGTAAAATCTTGATTATAAAACTAGAAAAAATGTAAACAAAATAAAGTATAACTCTTACATATGTACAAATAACGAGGTAACAACATTCTAACTAAATACATACAGTAAATGTGTAACACCATGTTACAGTTCAGTACTTCAAGAAAAAGGACATAGTTATTAGTGACTAAGTTCCACAGTTTTCTTTTGTTTGATAACTTGGCGTATTCCGGGAAAATGAGTGGGGGACGGGGGACGGGGGGGGGGGGTGGCACAAGTTAGTTGATTAGAATCCCAACTTTCTCGAAGCTTTTGTAGAAGTTTGTAAAATTCGCGAACGCTCCCGCTGTCACTGGCACGCGCTGCAGGACTCGGGGGGAAAACCTAAACTGATATGAGTGCCAGTGAAGCGAAGCATTCAGAGATAAAGGGAGGGAAAAATATGTATATAATTATAAGGAAAACTGACAAGCCGGTGCGACCTTATCAGGGAAAGACTGTAATGGGCTGCGTCTACTCCTGACAAGCTCTTCCCGATTAGGCTTGCGCTACCTGGCGATTGGGATGATGGACTGGGCGGGATCAGGTGGAGCGCCGGTTGGTTTGCGTTGACCAGGCTCGAGAGGACGCCAGCTTGCGAGGTCGCGGCGCTCCCCCTCACGGTTGCAGCTGCGAGGGGCTGGCCGATCTGGAACTCCACCGTAGGGCCAGCCAAGTTGCTTCTGGCAGCAACGCCTGCGCTGCCTAGTTGGTTGCCAATGAAGCCTTGACTTGCAACCTGCTCTGAGCTGAGAATTGGAGCCGAGATCAAGGCATTCGCAACGGGTCCGGGGCCAAAGCCGAAGCCTCCGCCAGGCCCTGCGAACTGGCCATCAAATGGAGCCCCAGTCCACCGGCAGAGTGGCCAAATGCGGCAGCCGCCCCTTGGCCCCGCTTGCGGCGAATGATGGATCGGCAATTAAGGGACTTGCTGTAGGGCCCACTGGAAATCCTGGACCACCTCCAATTCCTATCTGATTGCTTGCAAACCCTGCTTGACCACCTGCAAATCCTGCACCTCCCGGGCCTCCTCCAATGTCTATATTCAGAGTGCCATCAAAGTTTACTTCTGCTGGGCCTCCGCCAAATCCTGGACCCGCATGGCCAGCAACGAGTCCTGGACCACCTCCGAATCCTGGACCCACTTCAAACCCCAGGTCAGTCCTAAATCTAGCTTGAGCGTCACCGAATCCTGCTCCTGCTCCAAATCCTGGTCCAGCCTGGCCACCTCAAAAATAGGCTCAGGTGTCACAGGGCCAAAAGCTCACTCCAGCCACCAAGATCTGGCTGGCTGCCGATGAATCCTGGATCACCTCCAAAGGATATCTGATTGTCTACAACCCTCCTTGACCGCCGCCAAATCCGGGTCCAGGACCGACGTCAAAGCCTGGTCCAGCCTGGCCAGCTCCAAATGAAGGATCAGATACCAAAGGGCTTGCTATGGGTCCACTTGTGAAACCCTGGCCACCTCCAAACCCTGCATCTTGTGCGCCAAAGCCGGGTCCAGGACCGACGTCAAAGCCTGGTCCAGGACCGACGTCAAAGCCTGGTCCTGCCTGGCCAGCTCCAAATGAAGGATCAGATACCAAAGGGCTTGCTATGGGTCCACTTGTGAAACCCTGGCCACCTCCAAACCCTGCATCTTGTGCGCCAAAGCCGGGTCCAGGACCGACGTCAAAGCCTGGTCCAGCCTGGCCAGCTCCAAAATGAAGGATCAGATACCAAAGGGCTTGCTATGGGTCCACTTGTGAAACTCTGGCCACCTCCAAACCCTGCATCTTGTGCGCCAAAGCCGGGTCCAGGACCGACGTCAAAGCCTGGTCCTGCCTGGCCAGCTCCAAATGAAGGATCAGATACCAAAGGGCTTGCTATGGGTCCACTTGTGAAACTCTGGCCACCTCCAAAGCCTGCTTGGTCACCAAATCCTATTTCTTGTCCTCCAAATCCTGCTCCTGCTTGTCCTCCAAATCCAGCACCTACTTCTCCACCTGCAAATCCTTGACCACCAAATCCTGCTGGTGGTCCTCCAAATCCTGCTGGTGGTCCTCCAAATCCTGCTGGTGGTCCTCCAAATCCTGCTGGTGGTCCTCCAAATTCTGCTGGTTGTCCTCCAAATCCTGCTGGTGGTCCTCCAAATCCTGCTGGTGGTCCTCCAAATCCTGCTGGTGGTCCTCCAAATCCTGCTGGTGGTCCTCCAAGTCCTGCTGGTGGTCCTCCAAATCCTACTTCTTGTCCTCCAAATCCTGTTGTTTGTCCAACAAATCCTACTGATTGTCCTCCAAATCCTGCTCCTGCTTGTCCGCTGCCAATGCCTCCTGCTTGAATGGCCACGTCGTCCACTCTGTTCGAGAAGGGAACTGAGCCCTGCGATGCGATGCCAGCACTAAATCCAGGGATGTCAAACCCACCACTGGCTGCTCCTGAGTGAAAACTGACTTGGCTAACTCCTCCCACGTCTCCTCCAGAAACAAGAGGGCTTGCTGTGGGGGTTATACTGGAAGGGGTCACGGAAAAGCTGGTGCTGGACACGAAAGGACTTCCTGTAGGAGTTACACTTGGAGAAGTTACGGAAAAGCCACCACCAGTTACTGGAGGACTTGGAGTTGTCACAGAAAAGGGTGTGCTGGATACAAATGGACTTTCTGTAGGAATTATAGGAGTTATACTAGGTGTCACTGAAAAACCTCCCCCAGAACCCGGAGTAAATGGTGCGGGAGTTACACTGTGGGGAGTCACTGAAACAGATACTAGAGGACTTGCTGTGGGGGAGACACTTGAAGGAGTTACAGAAAAGCCTGTACTAGATAAAAAGGGACTTGCAGGAGTTACACCAGGAGGAGTCACAGAATGACTTACAGGACTTGGTGTAGATACAAAAGGACTTGCTGTGGGAGTTACACTAGATGGAGTCACTGAAACACCCCCTCCAAAACCAGATGTCAGAGCTTGGGCACTTGTAGTTCCAAATCCTGATCCTTGGGCACCTCCAACACTAATTTGTGTAGTTCCGAATCCTACTCCACTTTGGGTACTACCAAATCCTATGGCTCCTTGACCACTTTCGAATCCTACTCCACCCTGGGCGCCTGCGAATCCTGGTGCTGCCGTACCACCTCCAAATCCAGCTCCATGGCTACCTCCAATACTGACTTGTGTCGCTCCAAATCCTGCCTCTCGTCCACCTCCAAAGCCGATTCCTCCCTGAGCACTGCCAGCAAAGCCTCCAACTCCTGCTCCTTGACCTCCAAATCCTACACCCTGGGTAGCACCAACTCCTGCTCCTTGGCCAGCTCCAAACCCTATCCCTCCCTGGACTCCTCCAAGACCGCCAAAGCCTCCCTGAGCACTTCCACCAAATGCTGCAGTTCCCTGGGTGCCTGTAAAACCAGGAGCAACACCACCCACACCTGCCTGACCTACTGATACCTGGTTACCTGCTCCAAAGGTAGGGCCAGAGACCAAGGCACTTGCCACAGGGCCGGGGGTGACTCCAGCACTAGTCGGGGAACCAGAATGATGAACAGAAATGCCGCCAGGGCTGCCACTTCCAAAGGACAGTGAGGTTCCTCCAGTCTGGTGGACACCAGAAGTAGCTAGCCCTCCTGTTTGTTGAGAAGCAAAGGCACCTCCACCAGTCTGAGTGCCAAACCCAGCTCCAGCTCCAGTATGATGAACTGTAACTCCAGCACCACCCACACCACCTCCAGTTTGAACCCCAAAACCAGCTCCACCTCCAGATTGGTGGACAGTTACCCTGGTACCACCTAAACCTGCTGCACCTCCAGTTTGAACTCCAAAGCCAGCACCACCTCCTGTCTGGTGAACAGTTACACCGGCACCAAGTCCGCCTCCTGTCTGGTGAACCACTGCTCCTACTCCACCGGCTTGTTGACCAATAAGTGAAGCTCCACCTGGTCCAGTGTGATGGACAGTCACACTTGTTCCTCCAGCACCACCTCCAATCTGATGAACACCCACTCCTCCACCTGCTCCACCTCCAGCAGCAAAACCGGCACCACCAACAGCAGTTTGAGCAGCAAAGCCAGGTCCACCTGCACCTACTCCACCAGCGGTATGAGCAGCAAATCCGGCTCCACCTGCGCCTCCAGTAGCAAATCCAGCTCCACCTGTGCCCACTCCACCTCCAGTGGCAAATCCGGCTCCACCTGCACCTCCAGTGGCAAATCCGGCACCACCAACAGCAGTTTGAGCAGCAAATCCAGCTCCACCTGCGCCAACTCCACCTCCAGTGGCAAATCCGGCTCCACTTGTGCCTACTCCACCTCCAGTGGCAAATCCAGCTCCACCTGCACCTACTCCACCAGCAGTATGAGCAGCAAATCCAGCTCCACCTGCACCTAATCCACCTCCAGTGGCAAATCCAGCTCCACTTGTGCCTACTCCTCCAGTAGCAAATCCGGCTCCACCTGCACCTACTCCACCAGCGGTGTGAGCAGCAAAGCTAGCTCCACCTGCGCCAACTCCTCCTCCAGTGGCAAATCCGGCTCCACCTGCGCCAACTCCATCTCCAACATGATGGACAGCGACACTCGCCCCACTTCCAACTGCAGGTCCTGTTTGGCTAACGACAGCTTCTGCTCTTCCGGCTCCCTCTCCACCTTCTCCACCCTCTTGTTCCTCTCCTTCTTCACCTTCACCCTCACCACCACCACCTACTTGAACCCCTCCTGAGGAAGTAAAGCCAGCACCTCCTCCTACTCCTCTTCCCGACGCAAAACCGGAGACTCCGAACCCTCCTCCTCCAACTCCTCTTCCTCCTCCTGCTCCTCCAGAAGTAATCCTGCCTCCAAAGGAACCCGCTCCTCCTCCAACTCCTCTCCCTCCTCCGACTCCTCTATGGCCGTGGTTGAAGGTGCTGAAGTAGGTTCCGGCATCCCCTTCATAAGTCACCTGCGAGAGGAAACCGGAGTCCCCCTCGACTTCGTAAATGACTTTCTGCCTGCGACCGTCGGGAAGGAGGACGTAGTAGCCGCCGTCGGTGTCGTCTCCTTCGCGTGTCTCGTAGTGCCCGAAGAAGTTGCCGGAGTAGGTGTCCTCGACGTCGTACCTGTCGGGGTTGGAAGCCGGTTCGAAGCCTGTTAGTCCATAGGCCTACTATCACGAGGAAGGAACTGGTAGACTACTGCATTTCATCCAATACGTTAGGCTTTATCATTGTTTGTTTACATTTCAGAATTCTCTCTCTCTCTCGCTCTCTCTCTCTC